GGTACTGGTCATCAAATGTCAACGTCAATATTACATTATTTTGTTTGTTAAATGCTCTACTGATAGCCAAATTAGTTATATAAAAGCTTCATAACGTCTTAAAGGCAATTCAATATACTGGAATTTTGGGTCACACCATAATATCGTTTTTGGTGTGTCTTCTTTTATAGGTGAAAGGCCATACATTCAGAGTCGCATCTGTGTTTCGCAAGGCTTGAGGCAAACTTTCAAATTTGAGCTCATAAATCATAGCAAGCAATCAATTTTTTGCATTTATAAGAGTTTTATGAGACTAAATTTTTTAGCTTAAATCCAACAATAAAACAACAAATAAAATGAAATATTCAAATAACAATGCGAAAATGTTCTAAATTATTACTTAAATACACTAATAGAAGTCACTCAACAACTAACACTAACTAAAATTTGAATGTAAAAAGGGTGCTTAAATTAGTTTAAGAAATAAAGATAAAAAGATATGGCTTTTTTGTCAAAGTATTGTACCAACACATTGCATAGACCATAGTTATAAATGACCGATGAGATAGAGTAGTAGACCATTTAGGAAAAAACAAAAATAACAACGTTAGCTATTAAATCACTCAAAGAAAGCCACAATAAAATTTTCTTGAACCCACACTCCTATTTTATGTTATTGGGCTAAACTATACAAGTTTTGTGGAGATGTTAGCAGATTTTACATTGACAGATCGATATGATGTCATAAATATCAAAGAAAAGAGCACCCAAAATGTGTGCAATTCATAAATTTTGACACATGAAAGAGGTGTAGAGTGCACTCAAATTGGTAGCAATATTGATGCATATCCTCACTTTTGTTACACAATGGCATGAGTATTCCTAATCCAAACCGTGCAGTATTACCCAAAACCACCACACTCGCACCCGCACCAAAACAAAGAGCAAATAACAGAGCAATGCAAATCCAATAAAGCAAAGCAAATAGTCCCACGAACAACCCACCCATTATTGAAAATATTTGTATGAACAACAAAACAATGAACTTATATAATTTCCCAAATTCTCAGTGGCTCTCCGTTTCTTACTTGACCATAAAATATAAAATTTTCCAAATGCAAACAAAAAAAAAAGGTTGTGCACACGCTGCATAAACTAATAAAAATCCATTAAAATGTTTTATTTCATAAAAATCAATTTCTCTAAAAACGGTGGCGTTTGTAAAAGTCATCAAAAACTAATAGAAATCCAGATATACTAAAAATCAAATAATTTTAGATGCAATCATATATATAAAATAAATATCAATGAAACAAAATGGGTAAATCAGCAAAAAATTCAAGCAATTTAACTTTAATGTGTACAATATTATTACTTGATTCACGATATCATTGTTTGGAGTAAGTGTGAACGCCGAGTATAAACGGGTCGAATTTTGGAGAAGTTGCAAATTTAGGAAGAAGTCAATGTTTTAATTTAGCGGGACAATTATTGAAAGTTTTGAACATAATTAGTTGGTTATTTTATTAAAAAAAAAAAAGGAAAATGAAATAAAATATCTTTTCTGGCCCCCTAAAGAGCTAGGTCTGAGAATACGACCTCTTGGGGCTCCTACATTGTGTCTTTGTATACTTGAGAAGAAAACAAACTTCACGAGTCGACGTCCATATGGAAAAGCAAAGATCGATACCTTTTATCTTTTGAGTAAATTTAATGAGTCCTCACTCAACTTTAACGAATTACCAAAAATTTGCTCATCTTTCCATATAGTTATTCATCCACCACTCTTTGAACTCTAATCTCTCGAAATAGATGAAAAATTTCACATGGGTAACAGAATTTCTACGTGGCGTATTGACAGCATAAATTATGTCCAATTCACTAAAAACACACCAAACAAACACGCCTTTATATTATTAACCCAAATCAAATCCCCCAAACTAGAACCCCCGATCTTCTAAACCTGACTAGATGTTCATCTTTCGGGCAAGTTTCCGTGTAAAAAACGAGGCCGGAGTGGTGGTGCTGCGGTGGCAATGACCAAGTTAGGAGGAAGGGGGGCACAGCAGTGGGAGGCATTTTAGCTACTGGTTTGGTCAGCGTATTAAGGACTTTCACTAAAATGATCCAAGAAAATTAGTTCTTCTTAATCAACATTTGCATGTGAGAATGGGTGGAACAACTTCTTTGCATTTGGGAACCACCGCACGAGCAATATATAGGGATTTTTGTCTATTAACTACAAATTTCAATGGCAAGCGAAGGCGTAACAGAAGCAGAAGCAGAAGTAGAAGCCCGTACAGGCATATGAAGAGAACTCTTATGGCCATCACAGTCACAATAGGAGATATGAAGAGAAATCACAATGATTACTAATAGAATGGAGATCAGTACTATGCCCAGGAGCCACCACAGCAAATATGAAGATCACTTGGGTCTTGGCTTTGATCAATGAAGTAGGGGTTGAAAGTGCTCTAATTTTTTCAGTGTAACGCATTTCACGAAAGTATAATAGCTCGTTTGTTGTAGTTCGTATTTGTAGTTGGTTGTAATAGTTGTAGCTTGGCTTTATGAACTTTGTATTATTCAGAATACGTTAAATATTGAATGAATCAACTTCCAAGTGCATGATTTATTCTTGTTTTGATGTGACGCACCAGATTGAGTTGAATCAATCTGATGCACCAGATTGTGCATCAAATTGCTCTGAAGTTTTAAGAAGCTGCTGAGAATTCAATTTGTGGTGCATCAGATTGCAGTGATGCATCAGATTGGAGTGGAGACCTTTTTTCCCCACCATTAAGCTATGCACTTGAAGCTCTCCAACTAAAAACCAATCTATGCTGAGATCAATTCAATTGTACAAATGGAAAGAACAAATTAATAACTTCATTTCAGCTGTATTCCCAATTAGACAATAAAAACTTCACAGCAAATGGAGAATTCTTAAAACATATTAGGGTCTTGTGGGTCACCTGTCCTCCATTATCCAGAGAAGAGAAGAATGCCAAAACCTTACTGTAATGAGGCAGATTTTAGGGACAATTTTGAAGAAGAGAAATTTGGATTTGGAAGAGTAGGGTTCAATAGAGAAATTGTGAAATGTTGAAAGGCTGGAGAATGAATTTGGATGTGAAGTCGTGGTTCATTCCAGGTTGGCAACATTTCATAGAAATTATGTGCCACGTCATATTTCTATAAATCACGTGCATATTTCCTTTTATTAGGAGAGGTGAGAGTTAAAAGAGTGGTGAATAGGTAACGATTTATAAAGATAATTGAGTATTGGATAACCCGTTAAAATTTAGTGGCTAAGTATTAACAATTTTAAAGTTCAGCGATGATTCTTTAAATTTACTCTTTTATCTTTAAATATAAAATATGAACTGCAATAAACAAATATGCTTCATCTCTCGAGTTAAATTCAAATGAATCATTCTCTCCGCATTGTATGCGAATGTATATCAATTTTTTTATGAAAAGTATGAGAGTGATCCCTTTTATTTATGTTGGCTTCTGTATGTGATTGTTCATCAGCTAATCAAGAAAAGTTTCAGAATTTTATTTGATACAAAGGTTTGCTAGAAGAGTTCACTAAAGCATTAGCCTTATTACGTAGACGAAATGTGTGAATTCAAGAACACGACGATCTAGAATCATTGAATCGTCGTATTGCCGATGAAAGACGGATATTCTTGAGTCACTATTATATTTGATTGAAACTGCAGAACTTTAAATTTGTTAGAATTTGTGTAATTATCAACTTTTTAGGGGCAAATATCAATATTCTTGAGTCATTATTATATTTGATTGAAACTGTTATCTCATAGAAGAATAAATGCGATAAGTTTTACTTGAAAAAGAAACTGCAAGATTGTCCCATTAATACCTACTTTCACATAAATTCGAATAGTTCAAACTGTCTGATCAAAATTTTGAATAGAGTAGTACTATGTCATAAATATCTGTCAATGTGACAATGGACCACTACTACGTTGTGCAATGAACCCTTTATCACCTAAATTGATATTAAGGAAGAAAGATTAAGATTTTTGTACATTATCCTGTCAAAGGCACATCTAATCCTATCAATATATTGAACATGTCCTAATGGCATGTGTAGTATAAATATAACAGTAAGAGCCTATTTGACATGACTTTTGAAAGTCAAAATAAGCTTTTGAGACCAAAAAGCTGCTTTTAGACCCGTTTGATTAATTTTATAAAAGTGCTTCTCATAGTCAAAAGAGATTTTAAAGAAAGTTGGTACAATTTAACTTCTTCTAAAATCACTTTCAGAATATGAAATGCTTTTAAAAATTCGAACAAAAATTAATGTAACTGCTTCCTAAGATTCTTTTACATGAAGCAAAAGTTAAAGCAAAAGTAATGTCGAACTAATACTTGAATAGAAGGACTAAAATTTTGTTGATATTATAATTTAATCGTGTTCAATACTATGCATAAAATGTATCCTAAAATTTGATGCATCCAGTGTCTTGCAAGTGGTTCATGTAACTTTTCAATTGCATGAAAAGTGCAAGATTTTTCATAAAGATATATTTTGATATGAATCAAAGGAAAAAGGCAAAGAACTTTTGTGGAAAGTAAGAAAGTGGAATAACCAAATGTATAGACTTTATGAGCAATCAACATTTAAAGGTTTGTTTTATATGTCTAGACAAGACTGGTTGGCATATAGCAATTTTGGAATGCAAGATTCACTTGATAAATATCAAACAATAATTTAAAATCATTCAACAAAATTTCATTCCTCGTCATAAAATATTATTCTCAATTCACATTCTTCAGTAAAAGTTCACAACTTATCAATAAAACCCAGAGCTCGATTTCACACCTCGTTTCCAGCTTTTAATGGAACTACTTACAAACAAAGTAACACTAGAATCATAATTTTTGCTGTATTCATCAACACTAGTATCATTGGATTCTATTGTGTATCAACTTGAGAGTAGTCCAAAGGAAAACTTGACATCATGCATCAATACGATTGCATTGTTTCAGTCAGCATCCCCGAGCCCATCACTTCCATCCCCTCTCTTGGATATAGGAGCATATTGAGAGCCAGGCTTTTTCTTTTGAGAAGCAATTTCAGCATTTTTACGTAAGACTGCCCCAGGTGACGGGTAAGGGCGCTGCTGAAAGAGAGGACCCTGAAATTCGAAGTAGCCAAGAAAGTAGTTAAACGCATGGCAAAAGAATCCTGACCTAATGAGCTAAAACTGAGCAAGGAAGTCAAAAATGAAAAAAAGGACAGAAGGAAAATCAACATCCTAAACCAATTCTGTGAAAAAGCAAAATTTAAGGTAATGACTTACCGTGGCAGTGGTATCTGCTGCTCTCGGCTGTACTCCTTTAAGGCCTACAACCCTGCAAAAAATCATCACCAATTTAAACCAACTTCAACGATGAACTTCCGTATATCAAAAATAAATTCTTAAATTAGCAATTATATTGAAAAGCTTTCTCAAGAACAAATAGAAAGCACCAAAACGATAATCTCTCGCTCCGCTAGAAATGAGACAAGTAACACATACCAACCACCACGAGGAGCATCTGAATATGAACTTGGATCCATAGGGTCCAACTCATCATCCTCAGAATAGGCACGCTTCCTGTTGTCCCTTTTATGGCTCATCCCACGTGGGGGTTTCAAATCAGACCTGTAGATCCAAGACGGTGACTCAATTTTGACCACATTGAACTACAAATAATAAAAATACTTTCACGTCATTTCTGCCTGTTACTTGAATTTTTGATTATATAACATTTCCATTAAGGCTAAATAGAATATCAGGTGTATTTTAAACCATTACAATTCAACATATTTGTAAACGTAGTGTTTAAGATTCTGCAACACAAATTGTTAAAGAATTCCATCGAACCTTGTGTACATGGAATGGTATGAAAGGTTTGTGGTTAGAAAAATATCAACTTATGAAGTTTAATTATTCTGAAAAACTTCAATATATATACAATTTGAATACTTCATTATCACAGCAAAAAATGATCTTTTCCAAATTGTACAGTCCTTAGATAACATGTTAGGATCTTGAATTGAAACATATGGTTTATTTTCCCACAGGAAAACGAAAATTCAAATATCATAAATGAATCTAAGCCTATATAAAAGAATTTGTGGAAGCCAAATTGGAGTAATGTAGTAAAGTAAATGCCATTTTAACAAGTAAATAGATCCTAATTTCAATGCCCATTTTTCTTAACATCTGGGTTACACGAGAGATCTTCTGCTGCCAAAACTTATGACATCAGTACCTTCAAGATAGAAAATGGAAAAAATATATATTTTTCCTCATGAACGGCATGAATTGAAGGTTAAAGGCACTTGCATATGTCATAACCAGTAGAAGAAAGGAATTACCTGTTCTTGGAAGATCTCTTGTCTGAGTCTCCTTTATTTCTGGCAGGAGTTGTGGTATGCTGTTGGCTTTCTACACTGGCTGATACGTATTGGCTTTGTGGAAGATTATGAAGTCTGCATAAAGAAAAGATTAACCATTTTTCTGAGAAAGACTGAGTTTTATCGACGAGACAATCAAAAGGTAAAGACATAACTCCAAAATTGTACATCCATCAACAATTCAATGGAAAGACAAGGGTGATCTAGTCCATAAACAGGCTAAAAAAACAATCCAGTCTTTAACAAGAGTGAATTTATTTTGGAAAAATTTATACAACCATATTATCCTCGTACAATAGAAGCACAAAAATCAATAATAATAATAATTAAGATTTCATCCTCGCCACTATGTAATAACAATTTTAGAACACTTTCATGACCTACTTCTGGAAAATCAACTACTTATTGATATTTATGCCTTAAGTATTGTATTGGGCAAAAAAAAAAAAAAAATTGTAATGAAGTAAGTTTGTCTTTAATAACTTTAAGAAATATGTCTTGCTAGACAAACTGATTGACATATTTTGATGCCTATCTATAGAAGTTTCTCCTGAAAAGGCTTCAAATGAATCTTTTTACAAGAGAGCAAGAAAAGTGGCATGGATTAATCTTCTCTTTATTGTTAGGTTGTTGAAGACACAAATTTAAATAAGAAAGATTGTCCTATCTACAACAACTTAAGCTTTTAGACGAGATAGTTCCGTAAAATGATCATACAGAGGTCCTGATTCAAATGTCACCGCAACCCATTCACGAAATGTACATGTCTGAAAACCTTTCATGACAAATGAGTACAGTGTACACGAGGGGACATGTGGAGGACAAAAGTCTAAATCAGAGACAAGAAACCAATGTTTGAGTGTCTGATTTACAGCATATAGTAATAAAATGAAAGCCATAGGCCAGGGATAAACGAACCGAGTGCAATGGTTGCAGTAGCCCCATGACTGTACTAGCCCCACACCCCACCCACCACACCCCATGCATTTCGGAAACATAGATGCCTGAGCCCCCCAATTCCCTTCCATAGCATTACTGGCCTGAGCTCCCCGATTCCCTTCCATAGCATTACTGGAGACGGTTCTCTCATAATGTTGAGGGGTAACCTGCAGAAGACTTTCTGGATGCTCCCATTGCGACACATTGGTCTTCCTGTTATAGTAATACTTTTGACCTGTGAGCACAAATAACCGAAATGTATTAGTCTTCCTGAGGTCGTGAAACTTTTAACTTGACAAGACAAATAAATGAAGAAACTTATTTTCTTTTTCTTCTAAAGTTTGGTGTAGGAAATGGGAAGGGGGATAAAGGAACAAAATCCTTACTTTGTATGCTCTATGATGATTCATATACTAAAACATGACTATGATGAATTGTGGTGATTTACTAGTTTTCTATTTTATGAATGATCAAAAACATGTGCAAGTCATTCAAAGTTCTTTCCATCATGTACAAGTGGAAAGAGAAATTTGTTCTCGTCCTGGCTAAAAAGAAAAAAGAATAAGCATTTTTTTTAAATACAGTGAATACCTCATATGTAATGAAATAAGCTATTTCCAGTACTCTTCAATGAAGATTTACCTTTCGACACAAAGATAGTTTGAGGCAAATATGAGAAAACTATGAATGTAATCATATTGTTAAAAAAGAAAAATTCAGAATACGCTACTACAGAAATCACAGAAAATAAGTTCCCAAAACTCAACAATTATGTTGACGAAATGGACGAATATGTTACTTTCATGGAATCCAACTCTATTCAACTCAAAAGAAAAGACTTACGAGTGAAACAAGGTGAAATTTAGCAGTAACAAACTTTCAGTCAAGCTTACGTGTCTTGGGAACAATATTTTGATCATATCATCTATGAAAAAAAGTGACAGTATAAAACAATAAAGTACATAAAAAAAATTATTTTCAAGAACTTTTTCAATTAGAAAATTAAATAAATTATACTCCCTCTGTTCCATATCGTACGATTGAGATGTCTTTTCTTAATCAAGCTTCAAAATCAGAAAGTGAAACTATGTTGACTCATATAATATAATTATTAGAAAATATCTTACTATTAGCAGTCAAGAGAATCAATGCCAAAAGCCACTAGTTGGCCAGATGAAAGTTAACAAATATAGCCCACGCTTGGTACAAATGCTTTAAAACTCATTTCTCCTCAAACTCGTTCTCAATCACGAATTCTCCCAATAAAATAATTTTTCACGATGACCCATAACTTTTCCATACTTTTTAACCACACATTCTCCAAAAATATCACTTCTTACAAAATTCACTCTCAAAAAATCAACATCAAACAATTATATAGTATGAGAAAAAGATTAAGTTTGAGCAAAGAGTATATATATAAAAGGCAAATCCCCAAAAACTGCCTAAGAAAAAATCAGTGATTGTGTATCGCATTGAAAGAAAAAGGAACAAAGACATTCAGTTAGTTGCATTTTTCACCTACTGAAGCTTTACCAATCTAATTTACTTAACTGCAAATAGCAAATAACAGCACAGATTTCTCTCAACTTTGAAATGGTATAAGGCTCTTATTTCTTTCTATTTCCATAAAATGCAACATCTCAGTAACAAACAGACATTAATCATACCTGTTGTTTCATCAAATGCTTCTTGCCAATCTTCTGGTAGAGAAGATGTCACTGAGACCAACTTAGGAGCAGTATCAATAGGTCTTTCCCATTGACTTATTCCAGAACTTTGGTTATAATAAAACAAAGCACCATTTTCAGGGTCCCTTGCTTCAATCTACATAATAATTTGATAGGGAAAAATGGATGAGCTGGGAAGTAATAGCATGGAATATAAGGTGAGGTACCTAGGTTAATAAGAAATTAACAGTCTGATACTTGATAAATCAAACTACAACGCAACTTAGATTGTATGCATAGCAAAAGAAAAACCATAGAGTCTGGAAAGTATATTTTCCTTCTTTTTCTGGTTCTAGAGACTAAGAAACTCGGGGGCATTTGACATCATAAAATGTTCAAACAAGAAATTGAACTCTGGTTTTCTGACTGCAAGACATTATAAGAAGGCTTCTCATGTACATGGATGGGCAAGCATTACTCTCGGAGCTATAGACGCTTGGGGTCCGGACCCATGTGATGATGTCTCTCAGCTGAAGGCTGTTAAAGTTCCCCGCCATCAGAATAAATAGACCAATTGAGATCGATAGTGATCTCGACGAGCCTGACGGAACGGAATCCAATCTAACGAAGACCGAGTCAAACGGAAGGTTTATGTATATTATCGTCAAATGGGTCTTAATACCTATTGCTCAAATTAATAAATAGGGTGATGAAAAATATATTCAACAGACAAATGGTTTAAATAGATATATTCGTCACTCAAAAAATTAGCTGATTTTAAGATATATAGCTCCAATACTAATTAAATTTGTTCCAATCCAGGAAGAAAAGAATTGCAAATATTAGTAATTCACAAAAATTACAAAAGACTAGCAACTGACACTCACCCATCCTGGAGGCAAATTCCCAGGCACAGTGGTCTGAGGTGGTGCAGTCTCCAAGCTCTACAATGCAAAGTTCCAAGAAAAATGTAGAGATAAGAGGTAATAAAATAAGACTCATAATATACTTAATAATAGATTAGCTATTTGATCAGAAAATATTAACAGTAATATATGATACATAAAAGAGCAGCATGAACAAAAATTCTCTCAGAACACCACCCTATACAAGATGTGAACTAGATATAGAAAGAAAACACGGTAAATTTTCGACTTACATTTTCTGAGACGAGGTGATTCTCTGTAATTCGATCATCTTTCAGAATACCCCTTGCTTTCAACTTTTTCTTGAGATATTCAGGCAACTCTTTAGCCACTGACTTCTGCTGAGATTCTACATTAAACTCTGTATTCTTTTGACTTGTTCTATTGCCATCAACCTCTACATTTTCAGAATTATTCAGGAGAAATGGTGGGTTTACCAATTTTAATACGATGGATAAATCAAAAATGGAAAAATTATTACCAGGGGTATTTATATTGTTTACTGAAGTGCCATGGTAAGCACCTCCACCTGGCACACCATATCCATTTCCAATTTCCAGGTTACCTAGCAAAAAATTCAAAATGAAAACAATAATTGTTCTTCTCAACAAGGGAAAGCATCAGATTAAAAAAGTTGGCAATATGGACCAAAAAGGGTTTTTGCCCTCTTTTTATTTATAATGCTGAAAATTTAAGCCATATAGACTAGATGTAAATGATTAGGTTCACATTCCTAAACCACAATCAGGAAAAAGCACTTGAGTGTAAGTTGATATAGCTTGCTACCTAATCCTATACCAAGAGAATAACTATAAGTCGGTTGTTCTCACTAAAAATAATACAGTTTAAAACATCCTGGATTGGGCGTTGGAATAAGTTTTCTTCTCTTCAAGTATTTATTTACGGCCTCTAAGATATTTTATGATAAATTATGATGACATGTACGACTATCCAGAATAACAGAAAAGCAGAAAATAGTCTAAACCAGTGGTCTAACCTTCCTCTTTAAAGGTAGGCTTCCCACGTTTTAAATTCATTTCTGTTCGATGTTGTGTGGTCATTTTCAATAGATGCTCCTGTGAAATAGAAATCATGAAACCAAACATGGTCGAGTAAATCATCCAACGCCTTTAGGCACATGGAAAGATGGTCTAGCAATGAATAGAAAGCAGAAACAGGTTTTAAAAAGATGACAAAATTGAAACACCTTTAGAGCATTTGGGTCATGACGTCCAGACAAAATGTCCTTACAGTCCTCAGGAGGTCCACTTGCAGCAGTTGATTCTCTGAGTTCAGACAAATCCATACATATGAACACCAATTTCCACACTAAACATACTGCTTACAGCTCTGGCTTTTATGGAAGAAAGTAAGGACAAACCTTTGGCTCTGAATTATCTTTTGGGTGGCAATTTCCTGACATAGTATAGAGAAACGCAATAATATAATATTACTGGAAGGCATCCGTGAACGGTTAAATCTGAAATTACATTTAAACTGGACATACTTGTTCTTGTAGCACGGCATTCTGAGCAGCAGCTTCAATGTCATTACTGCATTCAGATTGCACATGAGAACCGCTGGATCTTGCATGAGGCTGCGAGCTCGCTAATTCAGAACCGTTGGATTGAAGATAATTCAACTGAGATGGTGGGCCCATCTGTTGAAGAGAAGTTGGGAAGGGAGTAGGAGTGGATGCATTTGAAAGGGGAAGAGGAAAAAGACTGGCCCCAGCATCACGAGCATTATGGTCAGGATGAATGGACTCCTGAAAAAAATGAGTGCCTGGCAGGGGTAAAGCATTTTCAGAAGATGAGAATCCTGAAGTATTTGGCAGTGGTTGAGTTTCTGGAGGAAGAAACTGATCAGAGGTGTCGCCCATTTGCTCCAAATGTAACAGATATCACTGAAATGTCCAATAAATAACATTATTTCCATGGGATAGCATTTGAAGGGACCAAATGAAACAGCAATGATAATGCTAAAGGGACAACCTATGCTTGAGTAAATTCGAGTCTTCAGAATATAAATTTGATAGACAAAAGAATAACTAGACAGCAAAAAGTTGAGCAGGGAAAAGAAAATGTTTTGCCCTCATTATGGGGAGAGCACAACTAACAGACTCTCATGCGTGTCAAACAGCTCCCTCGATCTTACTAATGAACAAATTTTCTCCAATGAGAAGTACGATACATAGTGTATAACATCCGAATCATAGAGCATGAATTACTCCTAACTTGAACAGAAGCTACAAAAGTCAGCTCGTAATTATGCCCTCAGTAAATAAAATCAAGCAAACAGCAATGCATACTTAATGAAAATCTAGAAAGAGTTCAAAAAGAAGACTCCAAAGATCAAAACAACGGAATTACAGAAACCCATTCAGCATGGCTCCTCGAGACTCACTTTTGCATCACTATTCATTAACAAAAACAAACAAAACCTTCAAATTACCAAAATTTTCAAGTAAATGTACAAAACACCAATCAAAGAAGAACAGCCCAGTTGTTAAGAATCAACTTTCATATTAATTAACAAAACATATGAACACGATTGCGCGAGTGTAAAACAGAAACATATTAGATGGCATACCTCTAGGTTTTCTTTAAAAGATAGGAATTTCGGAAGGTGGTCGAAGAGGAATCTGATGCTAGTAACTGGGAATCTAATTAATACCCTTTTTTCACATTTGAATGGTTGGTTGGGGAAGTTATGCATACCAAGAGCGAGCTTGATATTTGCAATGGAATCCCTAGTTATGTACAACTATTAAAGCGCAATGTACGATACATCGGTTATTTTATGGTCGCAAAGTCCATTAGACTTGGAACCGGCAATGGGCTGGCTTTTGTACCTTCACGGGCCTGCACATGAACCGGATCCTACTTAAATTTTTTCTCTTTCTTTTTATCATATTTCAAGGACCGGAAAATTATAAAAAATCAGGGGTTTAAATATTGCTTTTTAAAATTCAGGTCTAATGTTTATTTGTTCAAAAATCAGGTAAATAAAAGCCCTAATTCACAAACCTAATTCACAAATTCTCCACTTTGTTTCTCTCGTCTCTCTCGAGGCGCTCTCTCTCTATCACTCCATGAAGCGGCGCTGTAGTGCGTGGCCGGACGAAGGTGTTGCATCGGCCTGCGACGCTTCAGCATCGAGGCTGCTGAGACGGCAATCGCTCATCAGCCATCAGTCGCGACGGCAATCGCCCATCAGTCGTGATGGCAATCGCAGGCAATCGCTCTAAGGTGGTGTGACGGTAAGGTGGCGATTGGGGGCGTGTGTGTACTGTGGGTGTGTGTGCAATGAAGTTGTGGTGGTGGTGTTGCGTCGAGGTGTGGTGGTGGTGTTGATGCTGGTTGTGGTGGCGGTGCCGAATTTTTTATTTTTATTTTTTGGTTTATGTTTGTAAGTGTCAGATTGGAGACGGTGTTGGTGGCGGTTGGGTGCTTGTGGTTGTGAAGTTGGCTGCGGGTGGTGGTGGTAAGGTGGCGATCGGGTATGTGTGCGCAATGGAGTTGTAGTGGTGGTGGTGTTGCGTCGAGGTGTGGTGGCGGTGCCGGATTTTTGA